CAGGAAACTTGTGTCTACTACATTGAAGTCACATTAAAAATAAAGTAAGGAAGTACATACCTGTCAGTTCCGAAAATCCTTTTGCTGTTTTCCTTTGTTTTCTCTTTCATGTGCGGACAGCATCTGAAAGAGAGGGTGATATAGTTGGCAGATGTTTTTCTAAGAATGTTTCCACCCATTTCTTAGTATATGTTATGTGATCATTCAGAAAGATAACAGCAACGTATGTTTGTGACATGCTTTGAAAACAACATTTTTAATCTATGAAACCCAGGACAAGAAAACATACTTGCTACTCTCCTAGGTTCAATAAAATGTGCTATTCTTAACCACACATGTGAGGTATCCCCAAAATCAGCTTTTGAAATAGAGGGATTGCCGCCATTGCCCATTTGTTTCCCACATTTTTTCTTGATTGGTGTTTTTTTGCCGGTGGATTGTCACAATTGCTCACCTGTTGCCTGTGTATTTCCACCATTGCCAAGTATTGTCAAAATTCCCATTTATTGGCATGCCTGACCACTTGTTGCCAACATATTAGGACTGCAACTAATGGATTATTTTTATAGTCGATTAGTTGGCTGATTATTTTTTCGATTAATCAGATAAAAAAATGAAATACCATCTTTTATTTAAAATAAAATACACAAATGGAGTGTTACAAACATAAGGTTTACTTCAGACCCCGTTCACATTGAGCGATTTATCGCGCGGTAATTCCCGCGATATCGCGGCAAATTACCGCGCGATATCGCGCTCCAATGCAATCCAATAGGGCAAAGGGTCCTGCTGTAGCGGGTCGTGTGTCGCTACAGCAGGACCCTTTTTTGAGCGGATTTAGCCGCGATTCAAGCTTGCTCAATGCAAGCTTGAACGCGACATCGCGCGGCAAATCTCGCGATGTCGCGCAATATGCAAATCGCGCGACAAACGCGCGATTTGCATATCGCGCAGTGGGAACGGGGCTTCAGAGTAATACTGCATGCATAATTGTTTGCAATCGCACCGCACTGGAGCGCACGGCATTACAGTACCGCGCGTTCCAGTGCGGACGATTGCACTGTACCAGAATTTGTCAGGCAAAAACTA